TGAGTTTGCCGTGGAAGCCATGTCACAAGACTCGGGGAAAGTTCTCCCTTTCCTGGAGTAAGAATCAAGTTTCCTTTAGGAGGAATTGCTTCCTGTAAGGCCGCTGAAAAAGACAGCCTCTCAAGACTTTTGCCCTGGCCAGTTTGGCTCAGCGGTTAGAGCGTCGGCCTGCGGTCCGGAGAGACCCGGGTTCGGTTCCCGCTAAGGGCACGTACTTCAGTTGCAGTTCGTCCCCGGCCCTGGTTGGTCGTGCGGGTGGCAGCCACTCGATGTGTCCCTTCACGTCGATGTTTCTCTCTCTCTCTCCCTTCCTCTCTCTCCCTCCTACTCTATCTGTACAAAAAAAAAGGAAAAATATCCTCGGGTGAGGATAAAAAAAAAAAGACTTTTGGTACTGAACTGATATTGTTAGGGGTTCCTTTCTTTCTCATTGCAAATAATACAGTTTGAAGTAGTAAAAACAGTAAAATAGCTTATATACAGTACTAGTTCAAGGTTTTCGTTGTTCGAGATTCAAATTATGGGCCTTGAAAACTATTCAAGTGACTTGGCCTTCCAGGTGCTTTAGTGATACAAATCAGTGGCAGGGCATCAGTAGGCATATTAATTTTTTAAAAATTTATTTTACAGCCCAGGCCAGTTTGACTCAGCGGTTAGAGTGTCAGCCTGCAGACTGAAGCGTCGTGGGTTCAATTCCAGTCAAGGGCATGTACCTGGGTTGCAGGTTGATCCCCAGCCCTGGAGGCAACCGATCCATGTGTCTCTCTCTCTCTCTTTTTTTTCTTTTTCCTCACCTGAAGACATTTTTCCTTTTTTTTTTTTCAGATAGAGTGGGAGGGAGAGAGAAACATCGACGTGAAAGGGACACATCGAGTGGCTGCCTCCCGCACGACCCCAACCAGGACTGGGGACGAACCGCAACCGAGGTACGTGACCTTAGCGGGAACCGAACCTGGGTCTCTCTGGACTGCAGGCCGACGCTCTAACCACTGAGCAACAGGCCAGGGCGGTGTCACTCTTTCAATCTCCCCGCCTCCCTCCCTCCTTCCCTTCCACTCTCTCTAATAAAAAAAAAATCAATGGAAAAATATTCTCAGGTGAGGATTAACAACAACAAAAAATTGATTTTAGCGAGAAGAAGGAAGAGAGAGAGAAATATGGATTGGCAGCCTCCCAAACGTGTTCCGACCAGGGATCAAACCTGAAACCCCTTGTTTGTGAGCTGACAGGGAATCAAACCCACCACAGGAGGACACTACAACTAACAGAGCCACCCTGGCCAGATCTTAATAGGTGTTAAACATTAAGGAAAATTGTTCAAAGACATTAGTTGTCATCTACAGCTGTGTTGTAACACTGTTAGAGATCCCTAAGTCACCAAACCGACTAGATGTTTTTCAGTCTTTTTTTTTTTTTAATATGTTTTTATTGATTTTTAGAGAGGAAGGGAGAGAGAGAGAGAGAGAGAGAGAGAGAGAAACATCAATGAGACACAGATCAGCTACCTCCTGCACACCCCCAATGGGGATTGAGCCTGCAACCCACGCTTGTGCCTTGAACTGGAATTGAACCAGGGCCTCTTGGTCCATGAGTCAATGCTCAACCACTGAGCCACACTGGCCAGGCTGTGTTTTTCAGTCTTGTAAATTTTTTTTTTAGTCTTATATAAACACGTGGTTATTCTCTTGTTTTTCTTACTATGTTATCTTATTTTTGGCCAGGTGCCCATCATTTATTCTGCTCTTTAATTTTTCCTGGTGCTTTACAGGAAATATAAGGAAATAATGATGTTATCAAATTCTTGGCATATTTTAGAAGCTATATGCACATTGCAAAAGAAATGTTTATACACATACACACACACACACACACACACACACACACATATATGACACTATATATGATGGTGGTTCTTCCCCCTCCACTGTTGATGGCTCTAGAATGGTTAGTATCTAGGTCTTCCCTGACCAGCTGCATGTGCTTGATTAAGAAAGGGGTTCCTGCCCTGCTGGTGTGGTTCAGTGGTTGAGCATCGACCCATGCACCCAGAGGTCACCGTTTCAATTCCTGGTCAGGGCACATGCCCAGGTTGTGGGCCCAATCTCCAGTGGGCATGCAGGAGGCGGCCGATCGATGTTCTCTCTCATTGATGTTTCTATATCTTTCTCCCTGTCCCTTCTTCTCTCTCTAAAGTCAATAAAAGGAAACAAATTTAAAAAAAGGGGAGGGGGTGTTCCTTTTTTCGCTTAGGAAAGATGTGATGGATCAACATTAATCATTATTATTTTTTTTAACTCAACCTGGGACATAGAAATAGGCAGGAGAAAGTGAGCAAGAAATATATTGAAGAACCTGGAATTAATGAGGGTCAAGGAACAGCAGGGGAAGAGGATGAGAAGAAAAAACAAGAGAGGTGGAAGGGGTCAACCAAAACAAAGAAAGAGGGCTGTCACAAGTTTAGCCAAAATTCACAGAGCAAAGAAGAAATATGTAACGAGAGTAGGTGGCCTTGCAACTTTTGAAGTTGATCTTAAAAGAAGCACAAAGGTTTTTTTTCTCAAAAATTCTCCTATTGTGACTAAGTAGTGGGAGGATGAAATCATCATTAAAGGAGACTTTACAGATGACATAATTGATGTAATTCAGGAAAAATGGCCAGATGTTGATAATGATAGCATTAAAGATCTTGGAGAAGTGAATAAATAATTTTGGAAATTTGTATTTTAATGATCTGAACTGAGAGTTGATATGGTCAAAGGGCGAGAGGTCTTTTGAGAAAATAGATATTTATCCTACAGAATAACTGTAAACTGTCCTCTTGCCATTTTCACTGTTCTGTACAAGGCTGCTTGTTGTTTTTTAATTGCCGAAGTAATAATAAACGGGAGACATGCTTATGCATGAAATAGAATTTAGTAAAAAATTTGTCGTCACTTGAAAAAGTATTGGTTAATTTTAGATTCTTTATAAGAATGATAGAAGGGCCCTTGCCGGTTTGGCTCAGCAGTTGGAGTGTCGGCCTGCGGTCCCAAGAGACCCGGGTTCGGTTCCCACTGAGGGCATGTACTTCAGTTGCGGCTTGTCCCTGGCCCTGGTTGGGTTGTGTGGGTGGCGGCCACTCAATGTGTCTCTTTCACATTGATGTTTCTCTCTCCCTCTCTCTCTCTGCCGCTCTGTCTGAATAAAAAATGGAAAGTTGTCCTGAGGTGAGGATTTAAAAAAAAAGAATGATGTAAGGAAACAGTAGTTGGAGAGGATAATAGGTTTGAAAAAGAGAGGGAGGCTGGTAAGTATAAAATGAAGTTATTCTTGAATGACTTCTCTAAAATACTTGGATAATAACCCAAAGAAAGGACCCTGTTTTCCTGTAAATTGAATTGGTGAAAAGTAATTTTCTTTATAGATGTTGATTGAGTATGTTAAGATCCCTTGTTCTTGGGATGTTGTACTTTGGTTGCTCTATCTAAAGAGAATATAACTGTTTTATGTTTCAGGATGCCACTGGAATCATCATCTTCGATGCAGTTAAACTTCCCTTCTCCTTTACCCTCAGTGCCAGATAATTTTACTAACTCTTCTCCTCCCCCAATGTCTTACATCACTTCCCAGGAAATGAAGTGTATTCTTCACTGGTTTGCCAGTTGGTCAGGTCCCCAGCGTGAACGTTTTCTACAGGACCTGGTAACTAAAGCAGTGCCAGGAAAACTACAGCCATTGCTGGAAGGTCTGGAGCAGCTTAGTGTGTCTGGAGCCAACCGACCACCTTGTATCTTTGAGTGCCAGCTACGTCTTTGGGATCAGTGGTTTCGAGGTTGGGCTGAGGAGGAGCGCAATGAATTTGTCAGGCAGCTGGAGGTCAGTGAGCCAGACTTCGTGGCAAAATTTTACCAAGCAGTGGCTGCTACAGCTGGTAAAGACTGAAAGGCATTACAACCAGAGAAGATAACCATAGTCTATGGAGCTGAAGCCACAACTTTACAGTGAGAACTCCAGATGTGCCACTTAAAGCTCATGGGATGGTATCCTGATCTGCTGACTGAGCTTAAAACCAGTAGAGGATTGGTTCGTTCGTTCTTTTTTTAGAAAAAATTGTTTTATTGATTTTAGAGAGAGAGAGGAGGGGGAAAGAGAGAACATCCATGAGAGAACCATACATCTGCTGCCTCCTGCACGCCCCCTACTGGGGATCAAGCCGGCAACCAGGAAAGGAACCCACCACCTCTTGGTGCATGGAATGATGCTAAACCAACTGAGCACACTGGCCAGGGCCAGGCCTGGTTATTTCAATGTTAACAGCACATCAGCAGGACCCCTAGTGTAAATGTTTTCTATCTAAGCAAATCCAGATCAGCAGTCTGCCTCTAGTTTGCATCTTTCCAAGAGATGTCAAACCCTCGAGAATTTAATAGCTTCTTTTGCAGCTATAACCAAAAGGCACCTACACATAACAAATCAAGCCTACTGCTGGCCCATGGGATATAAAATAGAGTCCTCCTACTCCAAAAACAGGAGAGAAGGGGCAATAAAAAGTCATGTTTTTATATTTGGCTGGTTTCACTACCCTTAGCAGATTCTGGCATAATTATGTGACATCCTCACCACTGTCTTTCCTGTGATAATTTAGTAAAAATTATGGAAAAATCGGAAGAGGGAGCTAATTAGTTACTCCTTCCTCCATACTGATGTGTGTTTGAATCGAAATAGCGATGACTTTTCTTTAAAGCATTTGGAGCTGCTAGTAGATATTCTGTAAGTTTGCTCTACAACAATATGAAAAGTAACATTCTTTAGAGATTGAAGGGTTTATTTTTTTGTATCAAAATAAAGAATGAATCTTCAGAACCATAAGTCTCTTAATTTTTTTTTTTCATTGCAAACCCAGTATGAAAAGAGTAATTATGAGAAAAGTAGAACTTAAGTGTAGGTAGTAGATCAACCTTCCGTCTGGTTGTCTTCCAAGAAATAATCTCTGTCTTGCCTCCATCATGCTCTGGGTAACGTCACACCTCCCTTATTCCTCCAACTGGGCCCCTTGTGCTTTGGAGCTCTGGTGAATGGTATGGGGCAGATGGCCCCACCTGAAGAGTAGCTCGTTTCTGATAGGCCATGGTTCCCAGTGTACACACCAGGATAAGCAGTGTTAGGCAGAACCCTATGGACAGACCTAAATGGGTCATCGAGTGATTGTGGTCCGAGGTAACCAGCAACCTAGGAACATAGAAATAATATTTGGCTTGGGATAATGCCTAAGCTTAGGAGGTGAAGGGCTTTACCTTTACTATAATATATAGAGCCCATAAAATCCTGCTTCATTCAAACAATAAGCTAGCCCTGGCCAGTTTGGCTCAGCGGTTGGATTGTCAGCCTGCGGACCAGAGAGTCCCAGGTTTGGTTCCCACTAGGGGCACGTACTTCCCTACCCCCCCCCAATACAAACAATAAGCTAAACAGGAAATTAGTAAAAGCGACTGTAGAACCTGAAAGTAGGAATAAGACCAAGATCCAAGTCTTCAGCATCTTGGATTGTTGGAAGGAGAGTTCATTTGGCTGTGAGGGAAGTGGCTTAATGGAAGGCTTGATTAGAGTGGTTAGGTAGCTAGACATGGTGCCTGGGTAGTGCTTAAGAAAGGAGTGGGGTAGGATCCCTGTGTCCTAGAGATGGGGGAACTCCACTATCATGATGGGATGGGTGTCCCATAATGATAGGCCTGAAGTAATCATGTTAGTCAGGGATCCTTGTTTTCTGAAATAAATAATTCTGTCTAAATTCATGTATATACATGAGTAGGTGCTTAATTCGTGCAATTTCAAGCATCTGCACTAGGAATTTGAAATAAAAAACAACCCACTTGGGATCTTATCTTACTTGGTGTATTCTGTGGTAAAGTTGGCTCCTCTGTAATATATTTGTAGAGGCTTCTTCTGGAGAGTCAGGGTCAGGGCCCTGTGCAGCATACCAACTGAAGGCCCTAGGCAACCGGGGGACTTCCTCATATGCACAGTGAACACCAGATTAGTGGTAATTGAGGGGCTGTGGAAATAGCACCTAAATGGACATTTGGATCTCTCAGTGGAGGTATAGTCCCTGGAAGACTATCTCATGAAACATACAGGCTTGGGAGTGGGATGAACAGAAAGTCTCCAGAGGACAGTTGTGAAGTAAGTACTTAAGCGTTCTTTGTGGCCCACTGTGAAAGTCCTCAGCCTGAACTGTCCCTTTACCTGTCAGTGCCTCCTCTGCTCACCAGAGCCTGTAGGATTGCTTCAGTCAGCTCTTCTCGTTCTTCTTCCCCCAGGGAATGGCCTGGGGGCCCAGCTAATCCTAAAGACAGCCTGAAGAACAGGTCCTGGGTTGAAAGGCTCATAGGTGGGGAAGTAACAGCATCTGTACCTTCATTAGTCTGACACAGCCGACCCCTGGGACAGATGAGAAGACCATAGTACCCAGGTATCTACAAGGAAATATGTAGCAGAGTGTAGTTAGAACCTCAGTTTTTTGCTCAAATCCTCCTAAGAAAAATGTGTAGTCTAAGCCAGAGTCATAGGCTCACTGGATACTTAGTCAAAAATAAACATAAAACAGGTTGAATAGTACCACTGCACGAACATTTCTGAACTTATTTGCCAGTGTGCTACAGCTTTTTCACTGACACTCACCTGAATAGCCTTTCCTGGGGGGCATGAGACCCATGGGGATCCCTCCACCTGCACCTTGTAGGTTCCCCTCTCTGTGCACTGATGTAAGTAGCAGTGGCCAGTGAGCTCTGCTTCCCTCAGGTGTGGGATGTGAGAGGGATGCCTGTCCTTGTCCCCAGGGAGCAGTTGTGATGTGAGGTTGGCAAGGAAGCAACGGCTCTGGGAATGGTAGATCTCCCCATGGGGATTCTCTGCCCCAGGTGGGAATCCATTTTCCTTCTTCCAGCATTCACTCTGAAGGGCAGGGCAGAAGGTAGAATAGTGTTTGTCTCAATGCCTTAGAAGTTAACTCCTCTCCAGGCCCACTCAGTTTCATTCTCTATTTTCTAGTCTACTCACCTGGTTGGCCAAGGGCTTATACATGCGACAGCCTTCCAGCACAGGGTCTGAAGAGCAGCTTCCCTTGTCCAGGTGCAGGTAGTGGCAGCCCAGTCCACTGGAGAGAAGGATGGTAGAGTGACACTGGAACCACTGATGCTGCACAGCCCTCCCACTCAGCACACACACCTGCCAGTGCAGAAGAAGTCCGAGGAGCCAGTGCCACATGTGGTCACCAGGCCAAAGTCCAGGCCAGATCCTTTTTGAGAGAGAAGAAGAGAAAGAGCCCTCAACAAATGAAGCCCCAAACATCCCTCTGTGCTAGCTATGCTTATATAGCTTCCATTACATTTTAGCAGCAGATAATCCTTTGCAGCCCCTCTCATTTCTCCCAAGCTGACTTTGGTCATGTGTGCCCCTCTGTAATTCTCCCTTATTTCTTACCCTGGCCCCACAACAGCTCCTCTGCAGCACTGTGGTTGACTTGATACCAGCCTGAGTCTTTGAAGGCAGCAAGAGTGATTGGGTCTAGTCGAGTGCGCTGGGCACCATCGAAGATAGCGGTCATTACAGAGCCTTGGAGTAGTCGGGCCTCCCAGTGTGAAGACAAGGGGCCCTACTAGAGGAAGGTAGCTGTTTGCTACCTCACTACTCCCTCTTCCTTCCATCACCCCAAGGTGTTCTTATGCTCACCTCTTCTTCCAAGGGGACGCCCAGTGAAACTCCTAGCACTCCCAAGTGTTTGGCCAGGCTGTGGCTAGCAGTTGGGGTGGTGAGAAGCAGCTGTCCCCATTCATCTCGCCTCATCACCTGTTGCCTTGTAGAACAGTTCTCTCGAACTGAGTACAGACAGGGGAAAAGGCAATATGAGGAAAATTTAGGAAGGGTGAGGTAGAATTGGAAAGAAGAAATTGATGAGATAGTAGTGATTCCTTCTGGTTGACGTTGTGGGAAGACCTCTTCCTAATTCCTCTCATTTACCACTGGGTCCTGAGGAGCAATCCCGCCACTTCTTGAAGAGCTGTCCAGAAAAACCCAGGGCATGGAGCAATTCGTGTAGTGTGGCCTGCGGACAATTGACAGCAGAGTGAGGGGAACTGGATTTGCAGCAGGATCAACCAACCACACTAGCCCTTCTGCCCCATCACTTCTTAGAACTCGAGGCACCTTCTAAATAGGTTCTTCCACTTTATGGGAAGCTAAGTGACCTGCCCCACCTCCCCCAACCTGTCATTATGCAGCAGTCACCATGACGATGTCACTATGGCTGAGGCTGAAGCTGGTGATATGCTGGGCACAGTAGACAATGGTACCAGCAAGGGGCCTGTCTTCTGAGTCCAGTTGGCAGCAGGCAGCATAGGCAATGATAGAGGGCTGTGGATGGGTCAGGACAATGTAGGGGTGGAAAGGAGAGAAGTGGGGTAACACAGAAGAAATCTTCCTGAAAATGGAGGTCCAGTGGTTTCAAGGGATGGTTTAGAGGGTTTTTAATCCCCACTTCATCAGCATGCCCCAAGTTATCCCAAATAAGCACAATTTAATAAAAACTCCTTTTTATGCTCCTTGTCCCTCATTTAAGATTAAGAGAGGCAGAGTAGGGAAAAGGGATTTGATTTGAACCTCACCTCTCGATGGCACTTGGAAGTGTGGGCAACCCGCACATACAGGAGAAAATCTGTGTTTTGAACTCCAGGCCCATCTGGCTGGACCAGTTGTGGGGGACCCTGCTCTGGCCACAAAGCATAACCACGGAGATGAGCATCAGGGATCTGGCAGGGAGTGAAATGTGGCATCTAAATTAGCAGATGGGCTGGAAGATATGACAATAGGAAACTAGGTACTAGGTACTAGTGCGGGGCAGAGAGTCCCTACCTCTAGCCTGATTCAGTGTCATTTAGGCAGTGGGTTAGAATAGGGAGTTCTACCATCCTCCCCACCCCAACCAAATCTGTGACTTAATAAATTGCCGAGGGAAGAGGGAGCTCAGGAATCTGTACTGTTAGGAAGCACATTAAGTAATTCTGACACTGGTGGTCTTTGAGAGGTCTAGGCAGGCTAGAGATCTTCAGATTCCCACAGCTGAGAAGTGGCTCTCACCTTTACGCCCAGGCAACTCTCTCCTTTGTACCCTGGGTTTAAGAGGCTGCACCTGCCAAGAATGAATATCTGAGGTCAGCTGGAGACATTGCTGGGCACCCTCGAAGAGGTATTGTATACATTCACAATGACTTGAACTCACCTGTGGTAGTTGGGGGTATCTGGGTCTCCCCAGATAGCATGGCAGTACTGTGCAGGGTCTCGGCTCAGAAGCAGGGGTCCTTGCACTGGAGGCACTTAATGAGACAAGAGTCCCATTTCACCCCAGTATCTTAGAGTTCCAGTTCCTCTTCTGTGGTGATCTTCTGCCTCAGATCCCTCTGTTCCTCAGCCCTCCCTGACTCCTTCTATTCACCCACTCACCTGCTAGGACACCCTGGAGTCGCTGAGCAGCCTCTCTCACTGCGGCCAGGGCTCGGGATTCCCCACTCATCCCATCTCCCTCAGGATCCCAAGCTCCATCTGACACAGGGTCTTTTATATAGCAGGTTTGGATTCGGAGGGGTTGAGGATCATGAGAGCCAGGGAGGATGAGGGAGGAAGAGCGGAAGTTTGAGGGAGGTAGGGAGAAAGAGGGCCTGAGAAGGCTCACAGACTTCTGTGTCTCGTCATGTAGACATCTGCTTGCAGCAGCCCCCAGGAGTAGCAGCAGCAGCAGCAGCTTCTTCCTTCCAGTGTCTTCCATAGCCTGTCCTGGATTCTATTTTCTGTTTCCTTCTTCCCTGCCTCACTTACTTCCGGCTTTCCTTTATCATCTCTGCAAATCCCCTTCACCACTTTTGCTTATTTTTTCAAGATTTGAGTGTTGTTGACTAAATCTACAATTCCTGCCAGGGGGTCGGATGTGAAGCACAAGGATCAAAACTGCCTCCTCCCAGGGGCGCCAGAGGTGGAGAGCTGGGGGAGGGGCAGTGTTATTCCCAAGGCCTAAACCAACCTTTGCAAAGAAGACCCTGCCCCACCTACGAAGGAACTCACCTAACCTTCTTCCTTTCCTCATCTTAATTCCCCTGCCTTTCTGACGGGACAACCTTGGGACCTTCCCAGAACTAAAATAGGGTGTTAACATAATGGTGTGTGTGTGTGTGTGTCAGGGCAGTCTTTGTTTCATAGGTGTCTTCCTAGTTCATGGAGATGGGCAAAAGAGGCTCCTGCACTTCACTAGCCCCATATCAGAGCATGGTAGACTCTGATCTGCCAGACATCTATGCATCTCCTCCATCTGTATAGGGGATTTAGTAGGTGCTCAACAAATCCATATCGGTTGACTAGCAGCCCCCATTGAGAGACTGTTGTGTTAGCTCTGGGAGGCTTCACAGAAGCCACTTATAGGCATGCCGGGGAGGGAAAGTAAACTTTTTTTATTGTTTTGTTAGTCTTCACCTGAGATATTTTCCATTTATTTTAGAGAGAGTGAAAAGGAGGGAGAGAGAGAGAAATGTCAATGTGAGGAAGACACATTGATTGGTTGCCTCCCACATGAACCCAACTAGGGCTGAGGATCAAACCTGCAAACCAGGTACATGCTCTTGACAGGGAATCAAACCCATGACCGTTCACTTCAGTCCACAAGCTGACGCTCTAACCACTGAGCAAAACCGGCTGGGGCATGGGAAAGTAAACTCTTAAAATGGACAGTAATGGAAGATATTCAAAGATGTCCTTATGGAACTCTTGGAATTCCCTTTGTTTTGGGGTGGTTTTTTTTGCTCATGCTGTGCTTTCACATCCTGTTTACTTTGCCTGGATACTCCTCCTTCCCTGCCTGCCTGGCTAATTCCTACCTTCCCTGTAATTACTCTGGGAAGCCTTTCTTAACACCTCCAGCCAAAATTTTACACCTACCAGAGGGTGAGGACGACCTCTCCTTCCTGCTCCTAACAGAACACTTGTCATCTTCTTTTATAATTGTTGGCTTAGAGGCTCTCCCTCCACACCCTGCACTTTCAAGGTGGGCCTGCTTCCTGGCTGGCTTTGTATCCACCGCACTCGGCATAGCCCAGAGGGCGTAGTCTTCAGTTTGTGGATGAAGGAACAGAACCTAACCTTATTATTTAACTTTTGAAGAGGCAGGTCGGGGTGCAGTGACATAAGGCAACATAGCTAACTAGTGATAGAGCAGGCTGGGAAGGCTGAATTTCATACTCTTACATTCCAGAACTGTGGCTGGCACTACCCATGACAAGAGAGGCATACAAACTCTGGAGCCAAACACTCTGCCACCTTCTATGCAACTTTAGCCAAATGCCTCAATTTTTCCATTTGCAAAAATGGGGATGATTGTACTTGCCTGATAGGGTTGATTTGTAAAGTGCTGAGAACAATGTCTGGCTCATGATAAAAACAAAGTCAAGTGAAGCGTGCATATTCTCTGGACACTTGAACTCAGTGGAGAAATATTCTGTTCTTATCAGCATGTATACAAATCTTTAGGGGACTCTTGATTTTTCTCTAAGACCAGTCTAGTCTTTTTCTCCAAGTATTGAAATCCTTCTTCTTTTCTCCTGACTGGGATCGGGGCAATTTGGAAACAAAACTTCCAGGTCAGAATTTCGGTGATGGACCCAAGGTCTGTGGGCTGGCTTCTCTTCAGGTTTTCGGGCCGCCGCTTGCAGCCGCTCCTATGCTTTGCTGCCCCCTTGTGGCCATACTGAGGAGGGCGTGCCCCGCCAGGGCAGGGATTCACCCTAACTTCACACACACTTGCAGAACTTCATACCTTCTCTTAGAGGAAGCTCAAGAAACACCTCGAGTTTCTTCTGCTGTAATACCTCTTTCCTGCATTTGCCTGGCAAATTCTTCTTCATCTTTCAAGATCCAGCTGAGAGATTAATTATCTGCCTGTTGAGACTTTATTCCCCAGGCTGTCAGTTTGCATATCCTCTGGTCACCAATAGCATTTCTTTAACATATTTGAAGTAGCTCTTATTATACTCTCCTGACGTTTATTTTTGTGCTTGTATCTTTGCTAGACTGTGGGTAGGAGCTGAGTCTGATTCACCTATGCCTCTTTGAAGAGGTGTGAAATAGGTGCAGAAACGTAGTAGAGATGAGAGATGAAAGTGAGGATAGAGCAAGGAAGTAAGGAGGGTGAGGATAATAACCATTTTATGGAGCACTTCCTTTGTGCCCCGACACTGTCCCGAACTCTTTAGACTTATGTGAGCCTTTCAGCCACCATGCAATGCAGGTATCATTATTATTCCAATTTTACAACTGAGGCACAGCCAAATCAGTCAGTGTGGGTAGGTGGTAAAATGTGGGATTTGAACCCACATAGTTAGGCTCCGGAGTACAGGCTTTAACCCATCGTGCAATAGTGCTTCTCAAGTGCACAGTGTGGAGGAGAAATAAAGCTGTGATGAGAGAAACAGGATGAGAACGATGAGGCTGAGGTGAAAAGGTGGAGATGAGGAGAGATCATGGGCAAGGAGAAGGTGAAGACTATGACAAGAGAGGGAGGAGTTAGGAGAATGGAAGTTAGAGTGCTTGGGGATGCGGGTGAGAAAGGGCCTGGAGATAGGAAGTTAGAGGTAGGGATAAGAAGAGGGGATGTTGATGAGGAAGGGTTGGAGGTGAAAAAGATGATATGGGATGTGTGGGAGGTAGAGAGAGAACGTGGCTGAACAGAGCAGTTGTCCTCGGTGATTTATCAAACACGCTCTGTTCAGTACGCTGATGTCTGGGTTCCTTCACTCTTTTATCTCTAACACTCTTCTCCATTCCACCTTAGCACACCACTCCCAGAGTCATACCCAGAGCCTTATCATTACCAGAAACTGTAGCACCTATGAAATAACTGAATCAAACATCCCACTCTCTGATATGATCTCCTTTCCTTATGGTTTGTTTGCTCAAGTCGGCTCACTGCAGCTGTTCTACAACTTTGAAGAACCACTGTCCCTTTCTGTCTTTTCAACTCTCCTTGCCCACTTTAGGTGCCAGGTTCACCGCTAAATCCCTCTTTTGTAAGTGCCTGCAGCTCCCAGTTTGTCCTGTCCATCCCACCTCCCTGGCCATGCCCCATTTGCTGCTGAGCTGTGAAGGACCACTGAGGGAAATCCCCCAGGGGACAGACTGCTGTCACTCTAAATTTGTCATCATCCACTTCAGTTGGGTGCTCCCAAGTCAGAAATCTCAGCAATCAGCTTCCTCTTCCACCCTCAGCAACTCGGATTTTATACCTTCAAGCCTCCTTCTCTGAGCCTCCTGCTCAGTCATCTCCTCTTTCACAGTGAGATAGAAGTCAGCCTCAGCCTGCTACTGACTTCTCTGTGTTCCTGTCGGTGTCTGCTGCCATCCTCTTTTCTCGTTAGGAGAGAAAATGTCTCCTTCCTTTGGAAGGTGTTTTTTCCCTCTGGTGCTCTGGATCCCATCCACTGGAGGGAGTTTGGTCTCAGCCCCTCTCTGACCTCATCTTCCCCTGTCAGTCTAGTCTGCCAGCCTCTCCCCGGTCTCTGACAGTGACAGAAAAGGACCTGCAGCTAAGGGCCTTTGCATACACTTCTTTCTGCTAGGAAACCCACTTTTTTGCCAGACTGACTCCTACTTACCTTTTAGATTCCTGCTTATATATTTCTTCCTTAAAGAAGTCTTTCCTGACACCTTTAAATCAAGTGCCCTTGTAACTATCTGTTATAGTCAACATTTTACTTTTGCCTCATAGCGCTGGCCACAATTTAGTGTTATGTATTTATTAGTGAGATTCCCTTTGTCTGTCCTCATAAATTTGTAAGCCCCACAAGGACAAGGGCTATCCTCCTTGTTTATCTTGTAGCTCCCATAACAAGCAAAGTGCCTGGCATGGAGTAGGTATTATTAAATACCTACCAATATCAACTGGCCACCTCCTCATGCCCCCCACTGGGGATTTGGCCCACAAACTGGGCATGTGCCCTGACCGGGATTCGAACCGGCGACCACCTGGTGCATAGGTCGATGCTCAACCACTGAGCCACACCAGCCAGGCTTATTAAGTACTTAACAAAATTTTAAATCCTCACTCAAGAATATTTTTTCCATTGCTTTTAGAGAGAATGGAAGGGAGTGGGGGAGAGAGAGAGAGAGAAACATCAATGTGAGAGAGACACAAGGATTGGTTGCCTCTCACATGCACCCCGACTAGGGCCAGGGATCGCAACCCAGATACATGCCCTTGATGGGACTCAGGTCTGCAGGCCAACACTCTAACCACTGAGCAACACCGACCAGGGCTTATTAAGTACTTTTTGAGCAAATGAATGAATGAGAAGGCAGGGTGGAGCCAAGGATGAGGCAGGATGAGAATGGAAGATGGAAGGAAGGTGAGGAGAGCAGATGAAGAATGAAGGGAGAAGATGGTGATGAGGGCAGTGAGCAAAGATGAGGCTAGGAATAAAGGGGGAAAGAGGTGAGGAGAGGACTTCTGGGTCTGAGTACGGCTTCCAGACCCTGAGTAGATTTCCCAGGAACTCTCTCTTGGCCATGCTGCTTGCGAGGTTTGAAGGCAGAGCCAGTGGGCAGGGCTAGACTTTATCTTGGGGTGCAGCCCTAACCTCAGATGGTGACAGAGCTGGAGCCAGCAGGGGTTTTGCAAACCGTCCCGATTGCAGCAGGCCAGCAGTCTCACTCGGGACAGGCGGGTGCGGCCTGGGCTTATCTCCCGAGTACAGTCCTAACCTCAGATGGTGACAAAGCGGGAGCTAGCAGGCGTTTTGCAAACCGTCCCGATTGCAGCAGGGTTGGATGGCCTCGCCAGGGGCGACAGGGCTAGGTGTGGGGGCAACAGGTTTGGACAGTTTGGGGCTTGGTTGGGGGCGACGATTGTGAGATGTGGGGAATGGACCCAATCTATGTATGGCCTGCCTCTACCTACCTCAGATCTCTGAGAAGGGGGAGGTTCTGCAGGTAGGTCTCTCCCTTTTAGAAAACCTTCCTTTTCCCAAGTCCTTGGATACTTCTGCTGCTCCCTGAAGTCAGAATTGGTGGCCAGTTGCAGCCATTTTCCTCTGAAAATTCTCCCCATCTCCCCATGGGGCAGCTTTGGAGAATTTTTTATGTGCCACTAAAGTTTTTTCTGAGGTCAGGCCAGGCCTGCTTATAGGAGCAGCTGACAGTGGCCAGCCAGGAGTCCTGTCCAGGTGGACTCTTCCACTTTGGAGCAGCCCAGGCTGAGTCCCGAAAGGAGGGGTCTGCCTGCTGGGGGCTGGTGAGGGTGCCGGGAGTGACTGGAAGAAGAGGTGCACAGGCCCTCAGCCAGCCCGGCTCTTGTTGCCTCAGCATCTCCTATGCAGCCCCCTCCATCCCATAGTCCCTTCACTGGCCTGGGGCAAGATAGGGGTGGAGGTAAAGAGGCCCCTTTCTACCCCTACAGCCCCAACCGGGATCTTGCAACACTGGGATGGGGGCCCTGGGGGCCCAGGCGTGTGGCAATCATGGGGGGTGGGGTGGGGAGGTGTGCACGGAGCAGGGGGAGAGGCTTTCACAAGCAACCTCCACCGCGACTGACCTTGGCAGGCTCACCTTGGGCAGCTTCCCCCTCTCTGCGGTATCTCCAAACAGCCTTCCTCCTTGCTGCTTCCCTGGGGCCTGAGATCCTATCTCTCAGCTCAGGACTCTCCTCCTGCTCCCCAGATGTGCTCATGAAGGAAAAGTGGGCCCGGGCTGTGGATTCCAAACCAAGAGGAATGTTTGTGTGCGCTGTTTGCACCTTGATTTGCTGGTTTTCCAAACTACCCTGAGCCTAACCCCAGGCAGAGATGGGGCTGATTGCCCTGGGTCCTGGAGGCTCCTCCTTGCTGCCTCTGCTTTGTCTTCAGCGGGATCAGAGATAAGCCTGCTCTTCATCCCGTCCCAGCTTTTAGAGACTGTTCTCTCCAGCAGAGGGAAGGAGAAGAGAGTCACTTGCCGCTCCCTTCTGAAAGGCGGGAAGGGGTTTTCTTGCTTCCTTTCTCTTTCGTGATCACCCAGTCTTGGGGCCTTGGTGTTTGTACTCCCTTCTGCTCACCCTTCCCTCCAATTTGGCATATTGGTCTCCTGGACATTTTTTAGGTTTTGACTTAAATGTCACCTCCTCAGAGACACCCTTCTTCTTCTTTTTTTTATCCTCATCCAAGGACATTTTTTCATTTTTTGTACAAATAGAGTGGGAGGGAGAGAGAGGAAGAGAGAGAGAGAGAAACATTGATGTGAAAGGAACACATCGAGTGGCTGCCACCCGCACGACCAACCAGGGCCGGGGACAAACTGCAACTGAGGTACATGCCCTTAGCAGGAACCGAACCTGGGTCTCTCTGGACCGCAGGCTGATGCTCTAACCGCTGAGCAAAACTGGCCAGGGCGAGACACCTTTCTTTAAAAAAAATTTTTTTTTTATCCTCACTCGAGGACATTTTTCCATTTTTTATTCAGATAAAACTGGAGGGAGAGAGAGAGAGAAACATTGATGTGAAAGGGACACATCGAGTGGTTGCCACCCACACGACCCAACCAGGGCCAGGGACAAACTGCAACTGAGGTACATGCCCTTAGCAGGAACCGAACCCGGGTCTCTCTGGACCACAGGCCGACGCTCTAACCACTGAGCCAAACCAGCCAGGGCGAGAGACCTTTCTTGACCACTCCAACTAAAATAGCCTCCCCATCTGCTTGTTAATTCAATTTCCTCAATGGGCATATTCAAATGGAGTAATTAATGACTAATAAAGGTGCTCTATAGAGGTGTGGCAAACAAGATTAAGGGAAGGCAGCAAGAAGTGGGGTTGGTGGGAGCGGGAGGCCACCACCACCCCAGGTCATTTGGGCAGGAATCTTGTGAGAAGGAGCTGTGGAGAGAATCTGTCCCGTCTGGGAGGGGTTAGGGACAAGCACCTAACTTTACGCTCCTGGTACACGGCAGGATGACCAAAGAGGGGCAGCGGAA